CCAGGCACACCAGGCCTGCAAGCTGACTCAAGGACATGAGTGTTACTCGAAGTGAGACGAGCACCTCTGCGCTGTGGAGGAACTCGCTCACATTTTGGGATGTGCGTGGAAAATGGACCATGGGGGCTCAACTCTGAGACTAGGGGTCCCTGCTACGTCAGCCACCCAACCAGTCCAAAGGACCTCTGGCAACTACCGAACGAGGGAAATAGGGAGGAGAGGACCTCCTCCCAGCTCCACCACCAACTCAGCAATAGCCCTGAAGCCCCCACCTTCCTCCCTGTGTGAGCCACTGAGGGCAGCCCCCGGTTCCACTTTGAATTGCCCGTACATATTTTATGCATCCTTCTGGCCGCCTTTAAAGGGGCCCTGCTCTCTGCCAGGCCTTGTGCTGGACATGGCGACATGGCAAAGAACAAGACAAGGTCACTCCCTCCAAGGAGCTCACATTCTCACAGGGCACCAGCCATGTCAACAGATGGTTCCACCACAGCAGGACCCTTGTTGGGACAAGGGCGAGCACAGGGGCTCCGGGGAAGCCAGCCCGGGGGCTCAGGGAAGCATCTGCACTGGGGCCGCTGACTCCCTGCGAAGCTGGAATCACAGACTCACCCCATGCCTGAGCTGGAGGAAGCTGCAGAGTACCAGCTGCATACCCTTTACTCCACCCACATTACAGGTGGGGAAACTGAGGCTCAGGGAGAGAACGGGTGGGCTCACAGTCATGTGGAAAGTTCATAGCCTAGGTTCTTCCTACTCAAAGCCAGCCTCTAGTAAGGAACAGGGGGCCCTAGACTAAAGGCTCCTTGATGACTGGGACGAGGCATGTCACTCACCATAGCAGCCCCCTCCCCTGGTGTTTGTGCTTGGTAATTTATGTTGAAGTGAGTGAGGGGAGACACACCCAATCAGGGGAGCCAAAGGCCCTCCTCCCTCATCAGGGCAGACCTTGCTGCTGGGAATCACTGGAGGACGCCTCCTCTACCTGCATCTAACCTGCCAGGGTCCCACTGACAGCAAACAGGAGCACCGCTTCTTCTTCCCTCAGGTCCTTTCTGGAAGCCTCTGGAGCCAGTACCTGATGGCAGCTCCTCACCCGAGCCCATGACAGCACCACCGCCCCACACACCCACAGTAAGGAGGTCAGGTGGTGATTATTAATACTGGTTTAATGATCACATAATCTTTGAGCAAAAGATTCTCCCATTTCAATTTCCCTGTTTGTAGAAGAGGAAACAGGATCAGAAAGGCTAACTCAGATCCATGGTCTCCCACTCGAAAGTGGTGGAGCCAAGATTCAAATCCCATTGGATTCCCGAGTTGACAAGCTCAGTCCTCCAAATACCATGTCCCTGGCTAGCAGGGCCCCCGTGCTGGCCTGCCCAGGGTTATTCTGGGTGATGTCAGTCTGGAGGCTGGCCGACGGCAAAATGGGGTTTTTTCAATCATTTTTTTTCTCAGAGAAATCTTTTTTCAAATAAAATCAGGCAGGAATATCCAATCATAAGGTTTCATAAACTTTAAAAGCAGAGTTGCCCCAGAAACTCCCCGATGCTGGAGTCTCCCTGTGTGTGGGCTCAGCTGGCCCCTCCTTCTGAGGAGTTGGTGCCTCCCCCTCTGGTCACATCCCAGGCTTAGGAACATCCACCTTGAGGGCAGGTGGAGGGGGCCTTCTCCTCCCCACTTGGCAGATAAAGAAACTGAGCCCAGACATGGAGGCTCTTCCCCAGCTCTGCAGGATGCTCAGCGGCAGAGCTGCGGCTGGAACTCAGTGTCCTGCTTCTCATTCCAGTGGTGTTCTTTGACTGGCAACTGCCTGCAGGACAGAGTGTCCAGCACCAAGGGCAAGAAGAAGGGAGGCTGATATTATCCCAGGTGGGCAGGATGTCCCTCCCCCACAACCTCCCACCTGCCAGATATTCAACTACCTAAGTCTCCAGCCCTCTGGCCAGCTGTGCTCTCCCTCCAGAACCCAAAGCAAGGCTGAGAAAGTCCCTTATTCCTGGAGCGGCCCACTCTCTGAGCCCCTCAAGCTTTTCGGTACTGGGAAAGCTTTAGGGGGCCACAGGGAGACCCTCTTGCAGAATACCAAGGTGCGGAGGCCCCACTGACGTCTAAGCAGATTTCACTGAAGGACCACCCACCGCTGTGCAGCAGGCCAAGAGCCCCTCGCCCCCCCCCACAGAGCCGGCACCTCCGGATTCTGGCCTTTACAGAGGCAAATCTGAGTTTCTGAGTGTCCCTGTGATTCCAGATTCCAGGTGTTTACAGGGATGTATCCGTGGTGTTTGCTGAGACTCTGAGACTGCATGTTATCAAATCACACGATTCTGACAAAGTGTGTGGTACATCTCAGACTGCACCATTCTCAGTGGGAGCAGGTTCCTGAACAGAGCTGTCCTGGGCGCCCTGGCCGCCCTCCCCCTGAGACAAGGCGGGCCCCTAATGCAGGGCAGCCCCCCCCTCCTGCCCCGGCTTGGCCACATAAATCACCCTCCCAATAATATTTGTATTGATGATCTAGATTGGAAGCCTCAGTTGGCTCCATTGTCTCACTTCCTCTCCCCGGGCTCACAGCTGGGGTCCCTTGGCCTCATCTGTGTCTCTAATGTGGCATTTAAATGGAGCAGCAGCAGCAAGGCCCTGCACTGCCCTGGGTGTCGGCAGGTGGGAGGAGTACAGAAACATATTCCTTGAGAGAGGATCATAAAATCTTAGAAAGTGTGGTGCTGGCAGAGAGGCCAAGAAGGCCTAGTCCCTAGGTCCTGGAAGTGCCGCCCACTGGCCCCACCCAGGCGCTTGTCAGATGCAGCAACTTGGGCCCCGCCCCCGAGACCCACTGAACCAACACGGGCATTTGGACAGGATCCCTCTGTGGTCACACGCATGTTACACTTAAGAAGCATGGCGGGGCGTGGCGGATCATGCCTGTAATCCCAGCACTTTGGGAGGTCAAGGCGGGTGGGTCACCTGAGGTCAAGAGTTCGAGACCACCCTGGCCAACACGGCAAAACCCTGTCTCTATTAAAAATACAAAAATTAGCTGGGCGTGGTGGCAGATGCCTGTAGTCCCAGCTTCTCGGGAGGCTGAGGCAGGAGAATCGCTTGAACCCGGGAGGCAGAAGTTGCAGTGCGCTGAGATCATGCCACTACACTCTCCAGCCTGGGCAACACAGCAAGAGTCTGTCTCAAAAAAAAAAAAGAGAGAAGAAGAAGAAGCACTGCTTTAGCCCAACCATTGCATCATGCAGAAGAGAAACCAAGGCCCAGAGAAGGCAAAGGGCTTGTCTGAAGTCACACAGCAGGAAAGATTCTCTGAGTTCCCAGTTCAGGCAGAGGGAATCAGAGGGCGAGTTGCTTCTGGGGTGAGGGGCCGGCCATTTCCGGGCTCCCCTCCCTCTCGAGCTCCCGCCTCCTGTCTCAGGGTGTGGACAGATGGTTCAGACCAGAGTCTGACCCCCCTGTACTCTCCCAGCCTGGAGGGGCCAATGAGAGCTCCGGGGACTCCCCAGAAGGGCACCTCCTCCCGCCACGGCCAGCCAGCTGCCCCTTCTGGCAGCAACTGGACAGCAGATCCCAGGGAAAACCACCACCTGGGTCAGCCCAGCACAGCCAGGCGTCTGTGGAGGGGGGCACGAGGGATGGGAGGCCCCATAGAGGCGGCCAGCAGAGGGCCTGGGAGAGGTGGGGAGGAGGGAAGCTGTGGTCGGAAGAAGGGAGGCAGAGCTGGTGGGGAGGGGGACAGAGAGGTGGACAGAAACAAAACAGGGAACGGGGAAGAGCCGGGAAAGGAAGAAGGGGAAAGAGAGTGGAAAGGGAGCAGAGGCGGTGAAGAGTGATGTCGGGGAGAAGGGAGGCAGCTGGTCCGGAGGTGCACAAGCCCAGTGTGGCCCAGCCCTACCCAGCCTGGCCTGGCCTGGCCCAGCCCCCAGTGACGGTGCAGCTGCCACACTTGGGCCCTACTATGAGGTCAGTCCTGCCCCGGGGCTGAGGGAAAATAAATGGTGTCCAAGATAAAAGGTCCAAGAAATTATTTGTCTTGTTGTCATGTCCTGACTGCAACGGGCAGGGCTGGCAGGCAGGCGGGGCATCACCCCCAAAACACTCAGGCTGGCAGGTTTGGCCCCACACACAGGACCACAGCCCCAGATCCCCAGAACCTGGGCCTGAGAAGGCAGGAATGGGTGGGGGCAGGTGCTTTCCCAGTGAGTGGCAAGGACCAGGAGGCCTCGCAGCAGTCTCCGCTTTTCCTGCCTGGCAATTTTAAATAAATAATCTGTGTGGTATTTGCTCAGTGTCTGTCTAGGCCAGATGCTCTCCAAGCTCTGGGAAGGCGGAGCGCTGCCTGTTTCGCTCACTGCTGAGCACCTTTGTGGACCAGGGCCTTGAGATGTCTCACTCCTCCCAGCCATTGCAGAGGCAGCACAGGCAGGGGAGCGGGGAGAGCTCCCAAGTACTCCAGGAGGGTTGGGCAGTTCCAGGGTCAAGGGCAAGTCAACAGGACCATGGCCCAAGGTGTTACGCATGCCACGTATCACAGGTGCACAGGCTCAAGCTCAAAGCGCCCATATGCACACGTGCACGTAACACACACACTAGGCTGATTTCCACCACCAGAAGCTTCCACAAAGCATCACCTAGAGGCTCCTGCCCCTTGAAGTGGCCGAACCTGGGGCTGGTGAGTGGTGGCATGGGAGCAGCCACCTGCTTTAGGCCATCCCAGGCAAGCCACTGATACCACAGCAAATGCCACTTAGGGGGCATTTACCAGCCAAAGAACTTCTCATTCACATCTTCAGTAAGTACCCCTGACAATGCTCTCAGGGATTCACTATTGCATCCCCATTTTCCATTTTACAGATCAGGAAACAGACCCAGAAAGGATCAGTGCCAGGTCCAAGATCACACAGCCAGGACCAACAGAACTGGCATTTGAACTTGAGGTCTCTGAGGCCAGGAAGGACATGTTTACAGGGTAGGAGAAGAGGGTTGGCACATACCATACTTGTCCCCATCCTCGCCGCGGGCACTGATCCTGCGGCCCAGGACCTGGATGTGTTTCCCACTGGTCCGGCTGTAGAGCTGGTACAGCCGCAGCTGCTTACGGCTCACATCGTCCCGAGCCCGCGTCTGGTTCTCCACGTGGATGCGGAAGTCCACGTTCTCCTCGGCAACCAGCACCTGGGCAGGGAAAGGGACATAATGAGCCACCCCAGATGTCCCAGATCCACTGCATGCAGGAGCCAGCCACGCCCACCACAAAGACCAAGGGCATGTCTACACCGGCTCTGAGCCAGGCCGTGGCACACACTGATAACCACCCCCTCACTACCCCCATTCAAAGACAAGGCAATGGGGGCTCTGAGAGGTGAGGCAAGTTGCCCAAGGTGGTCCAGCCAGAAAGTGGCAAAGCTAAGAATCAGGCCTAGGTCTATGTGACAACAAAGCTTCTCTTTCCACCACAGCCCCCAGTTAAAGCAAGAACAATTCTCGGTAAAGTGGTGGGGCAGAGCCCCTACCCTGATTCCATCCCGGGGTAGCTGTGAGGACTAAGTGAGCAAATAGGAAGAAAAGTACTTAAATCCATACGGAGATGGGTGAGGAACGAGAGGGGACGGAACGCTGCATCCATGGGGAAAGAGGAAGGCCTGGAGAGCCTCATCCGGGGAACCAACAGGCCAAGTCCTCTGTGGCTGCAGCTGATGCTGGGGTCTCCTCCCCACACCCTAAGGGTCCTCATGCTCGCTCCCACACCATTTGCCCACATCCTTAACTCCTCTGGTGAAGCCTTTGGTTTGCGTCTGCCACCAAAATTCCAGCTCCCTTGAGGCTTAGCTTGTGCCTGTCCACATCCTTCAGGAAGCCTTCTCTGGTTACACCAACACACACCGCGCTCATCTTCCTTCCCCTCTCATTGGGACGACGTGCACCTGCCTCCTCACTGGCCTTCTGCTTCCACTCTCGCCTTCTGGTAGTCTCTCTTTACCAAACCCAATCCCCTCTTCATACTCTCCGGGGCCTCCCATCACACTGCAGTGAAGGACTCCTCCAAGGCCTCAAGGCCCTGCAAGGCGAGCCCCTGAATGCTTTTCCACCTTCCTCTCCCACCACTCCCTCCCCACCAGCCACGCTGGCCACTGGCCACCTTGGCATGGCTCTCGGCATTCCAAAATCAAAGCACACTCCTGCCCCAGGGCCTTTGTACTTGTTCTTCCCTCTGCTTTGATGCTGTTTCTCAGATCCTTACATTCTAACCCCTTGAGCTCACTTGGGTCTCTGCTCAAATGTCACCTCCTCATGCAGGCCTTCCTGGACCCCTTTCTGAAGCCACCTCCAGCTCTGACACTCTCCCTCCCCCCATCATGCTTTGTGCTTCTTTCCAGCACTTATCTGGGTTCTGTCTTTTGGCCCCAGTAGACTGGTAGCACCATCAAAGAAAAAAAAAAAAAAGAAAGAGAGAGAGAAAGAGAAAGCTGGAGCAGTGTCTCTCATTTGCCACTATATCCGCAGCACCTAACACGGTAGAAACTCAAACCCTTCTCGAATGGATGCATGAACAAATGTTGAAAAGGCCGGGAGTCCTGTTGTGCCATTTAGCATTGGGGCAGGGTCCCGTGTACCCTGCTGGTTGTATGCATGTCCTACCCCATGTCAACCATAAGGCTGAGCCATTCCTGAAGCCCAGACACCATTCTGGGTTTGTCCCCTGCGTGCCCACAAAGTCTATCACGATGCTAGGCACAAGGGACCCCCATTCCCACGCTGGCACAGCCCCACTCAGCCCATGGCAGAGCTCTTAGGACCCTGGCTGCCAAAACATCTGTCTCACCTCTCAGCTGTGAGCTCCCAAGGGCAGGCCTGTGTTTCCTTCATTTGCTACAGTAGGATCTCTGTCCCCAAGCAGACCTGCATGTATCTCCTGATCCTGGACTGGGCCCGCAGGTATGTCAGCAGGACCACATTGTTGAACCTTCACGATTGTCCTCAGGGCGGAAGCATCATCCCACATTACGGATGAGGAAACTGAGCAGTAACGCAGAATTAACCCCAGGCCTTGTGACCCCAAAGACTGTGTTTCCTGTGCCCCACCCCTGCAGGCAGCCCCAGGTCACTGCCTTGCAGGGCCCTGCCTGCCCCACCAGTGCCATCAGGAGCTGGTCCTGGGTTCAAAACCCAAGGTGTGCCACTCTCCAGCTAAAGAACCTTATGCAAGTTATTAAACTCTAGTGCCTGTTTCCTCACCTATAAAATAGGGTGATGATAACAGCACCCTCCTCGTGAGTGGCTGTAAAGATTAAATATATAAAGCCATATATTAAGCGCTCAGAGCCGTGCCTGGCTCACTAGGGGTAACTAGTGGGAGAACACAAGGGAGTTTTTCACGGGGATCTAGGTGAAGCCCTGCAAACCAGATTAGCATGTGGGAAGATGCTATTGCTTTTCATAGTCCTGACAACCATGCACCATGAGAACGCTTTTCACCCGCACTGAACGGATGCAGACACTATGGCCCAGAAAAGTTAAGTCCATTGCTCCAAACCACACAGCCCAGTGAGGCAGGGCCTGGCCTGCTGGCCCACCAAGTGTGCCCCCTCTTCACTTCCCCCTCCCCTCAGTGGCCACACACATCACCACTCCACCACTGGCAGCCCAGGTCTGATACCTGGGGCCCGCCTCCTTCCACATCCTGCTGCTCAGGGACAGAAGAACTCCAGTGCCCCTGAGGCCCACACCTGGTGGGCATTTGTCAGGAAGATGCCCCACCCGTGGCCTTTGACCTTCCTGGAATGACTTCCGGAGGTGGCTAGCCCTGTCCCCTCCCCCAAGGGCAGGCCTCTGGCGTCCCCTCCCTGTCCTCCAACTCTCCTCCTGCTCACAGGAGACCTTATCGACCAGAGGTCAAACCAATCTCCTTCCCCCGGGTCCCCGAGGGGAGCTGCCCTGCCCCAGAAGCCGGCCTCCCATTAATGATTTTCTCCCTGGCCCACTGGACAGAGGCAGCGTGGGTGACCCAGGGTCAGCAGGGGCTATCGGGTGGCACTTCCCCAGGATGCGGGAGGGAACAATCCATCTTGCCCAGCTCTCACCATTGAAGCCCCACTCTGTGTCCAGATCAACTCCCAGGGAGGCGGCGGGGGGTGGCCTCTGGTTTGGAAACAAGGTCCGTTCTCCTGGAAAGGCAGGAGGCACCCCGGGCTTCCCAGGCAAGACCTCTGGAGGGTGTGACACCTCCCACCCCAAAGCCTTTCCTAGCCCCACCTCCCAGGCTGGGTGAGGGCCCCCAAACACTCTACTGCAATGGCTTATTGTCCCAAGTCCAGTGTGACTGGTTCATCCCTGAATCTCAGTTCTGCCCTCAGAAGGCAACCAGCAAACGCATGCCAAAAGGCTGAGGCCAAAAGCGAGGGAAACCTGGAGGCCAACATCAGCCCTCCCACTCACCAGCCAGAGTGCCCCACAGAGGGATGTGTTAAGGCAACTGACTGTTCAGCATTCCTCTGTTCCAGACACGCTGCTAAGAAGACCCCTAGGCCAGTCACGGTGGCTCAGCACTTTGGGAGGCCGAGGTGGGCGGATCGCTTGAGGCCAGGAGTTCAAGACCAGCTTGAGGACTTCAACACCATCTTAACATACTGAAACCCTGTCTCTACTGAAAATACAAAAATTAGCCAGGTGTGGTGGTGCATGCCTGTAATCCCAGCTACCCAAGAGACTGAGGCCGGAAAATCACTTGAACCCGGGAGGCAGAGGTTGCCGTGAGCAGAGATCGCACCACTGCACTCCAGCCTGGGTGACAGAGTGAGAATCTGTCTGAAATAAATAAATAAATAAATAAATAAATAAATAAATAAATAAATAAATAAAAATTTAAAAATAATAATAAGAGGAAAATGACCCCTAGACATGGAACCTCAATGACCCGTGGAGGTGAGCACCAGTTAAAGCCCATTTCAAGGTCTGCTGCCAGAGTACATGCATAGTGGGGCTGCCTTGGGAACATCCACTTCTCCTGTGCTACTAGCCGGGTGGCAGATCACTTGGCTCGGTGCCCTGCAAGGGGGACCTATCTTCAAGGTCTTCCCAGTACAGTCAGTGTTGCTGTCGGCCTGGCTAACACCCCTCCAGGCATACAATGATCAGGGGTGTTGAAAAGCTGCGGTTTGAACAAAATCAAATTGTTGAAACTCTTTTTTTCTTTTTTGAGACTGAGTCTCACTCTGTCGCCCAGACTGGAATGCAGTGGCACAATCTCGGCTCACTGTAACCTCCACCTCCCAGGTTCACCTCACCTCCCTGATTCTCGTGCCTCAGCCTCCCCAAGTAGCTGGGATTACAGGTGCCCACCACCACACTAGCTAATTTTTGTATTTTTGGCAGAGATGGGGTTTCACCATATTGGCCAGGCTGGTCTTGAACTCCTGACCTCAGGTGATCTGCCCACCTCAGCCCCCCAAAGTGCTGGGATTACAGGTGTGAGCCACCATGCCCAGCCTGCTGCAACTCTCAAAAGGACAGAAGGGTTGGTGCATAAAGCAAGTCTTCGACGGAGACAAGGTGCCTTTTGTCATTCTACCTTGCCTGCCACGCCATGCACATGGATTATCTTTTGGGCCTAGGGTCCTCTTCAGCCTAAGATTCCAGTTGTCCCCAGCCCCTGCTTCCCCTGCCTCGAGGGCTTCCGTTCTGGTAGAAATCTTCACTCTTCCAATGCAGCAACTGCACAGAGGCAAGGAGGCCCCAAGAGGCTCAAATCCCTCCCACAAGCCTGCCAAGGGCCCCTGGGGACAATCATGGGGCTCAGTGGCACAGAGCCCACCCACCTTCTGCCTTTGGTTCCATCCTCTCCCAGTGCAGCTCTTAACCCGAAATGTGATGCCATGTCCCTGCCCAGGCTCCCTATTACACGGGACAACAGCCAAGTGTCATCCTTACAATCAAGCCCCGTCTACCTTGCAAGCCTCCCCTCTTAGGCACCTTGGTAAGAACCTTCCACAGGGTGAAAAGAGGTTGAGGTGAGCCCCCAGCCTAGTGCCAGCTTCAGGGATCAACCAAGGTACCATCTCACACCAGGGCATCCAACAGCCTCCATCACTCCCTCTGGCCTGAAGACCTCAGCCTCTCCAGCCCACTCATGGCTGAAAAGCATGTTTGGGATTTTCCTCTTTCTTCCTGGCCCCCCT